CATCCTCCACAGCTTCTCGTCGATGGCCCTCAGCAGGTCGATCTGCGCGACGGCGTAGTCCTCCTCCTCCTCCGCCGCCGCCCTCCTCCCCCGCCATCCGTCTTTCCCGTCCGTGAATCTCCTCCCTCAATTTTGAAACGAGAAACGGCGGGCAATTGAATTCCGCAATTCTCCATGATTCACCTTCCACTCTTTCTCTCGCTCTCTTTCTCTCGCTCTCTGTCTCTCGCTCTCTCTCTTTCTTTCTCTCTCTCTCTCTTTCTGCTATGCTCACGAATATATTCATTGTCGTTTTCAATGAATTCGATGAAATTCTCATCTTCATTACTTCAGAATTTATTTTCTTCATTCATGCTGCATTCATGCTGCATTCATGCTGCATTCATGCTGCATTCATGCTGCATTCATGCTTTGCCACTTTGCAGAGAGAGCATCGTGCACATCTCTGATGTCATGCATTTTCAGGACTCGAAGGAACAGCGATCATAACCAGTCCGAATTGCAGCCTTCCTTCCCCGTTCCGAATCCCAGCTGGACCACGACCATGAATCCGCATGAGTCACATCTGAGAGTTAAATTTAGTATGGAATCTTGTGAGCAATCTCCGCGTTTCTTCAAGACTTTCGGGACGACGATGTCCAAAAAATTTCGACATTTCTGCGCCCCCTCCCCCCCTCCCCCCCCCCTTTCTTGTAACTGATCATCGAAGTGTAACCATTGGAAACGTTTGTTTTCATCAGTTTTTCATCAAAATCGTTTGAATGTTCGACAAGAATTCGAAGCACAGGTTGGCGACGAATTATTAGAGCTCCCACTGACGAGAGTAGGACCAAAAATTCGACCGTGACGACCTGGGTCGACCTCCACTGTCGAATGCAAGAGTCGCACGGGATTCCTAAATTCGGTGAATTCCTGCGATGGAATGCGTTAATATTTAGGGTTGCAGTTAGACTTCTATCGAGCTAATTATTAATTTGAATATGTGAAAGTCTGGAATAACACAATGATCTCGATTAAAAGTCGCTCCCCTAAAGGATAAAAATCGGCCGGGGGCACCTACTTCTGTACGAAGAACCGCCGAACCTGCGGAACCCGTTCGGCGCCCTGCACCACTCCCGCGCGACGAAGACGACGTCGGCGACGAAGACGAAGCTGAGGAAGAGGCAGGCGATCCCGGCGGCGAGGAGGAACTGGGGTCCCCTGGAGGCGAGGACGCGCTTCGCGTTGTCGAGAAGCACGCTCCCCGTGGCCATGTAGAAAAGGGCGCACACGCCGCCGTGGATCATTTCCTAAGGGGGGACGGCAACGAGTTTCGTGGTCGAAGCCGGTCGCTTCCAGGTACTTCCACCTTCGTTAGCAACGAGGTAACGAGGTCGCGGTTAGTTATTAGCAACGTCCGTTGTCTTTTTGTCTCTTTTACGGACTTTTTTACGTGACTTTGACGAATCAATAGTAAAATTTAATAAATGGATCAGAAAGGGTTCTAATTCCAGCTAAATCGAGAGAGATTTCTCGGCCTCGATGTCCACGGCAGCAGGGACATTTTTTTAGACATTTTCTGCAGGACTTTGTGGATTGAAAAGAATATTGCATGCACATCAGGAGAATTTTCAAATTCGCGAACTGCATTAGAAGGGTCCAGATACCGATTCTCCATCGCCAACGATTTAGCGGAAATTTTACTCTATGTGACAGAACGAAAAATCGGATTCTGAAGATTCTCGATCGCACAATCATTCGCTTACGACCTCGAAGCCCTCAAGGACGCCCTCAAGGACCCCCTCAAGGACGCCCTCAAGGACCCCCTCAAGGACGCCCTCAAGGACCCCCTCAAGGACCCCCTCAAGGACGCCCTCACAGAAGCAACCCAGACTCACGACAGGGCCAGGACCGTGCCCGAGGAGAACCGCGAAGGGGAAGACGAACGTCGAGAGCAGCAGCCCGACCAGAGTCCCGACCGCCACGTTGCTCACGTCCGAGTCCCTGAGTCCGCCCTCCGCGTCCCTGAGTCCTCCCTCCGAAGCCCTGAACAGCGCCACCGCCACGATCCCCAGCGCCTTGGGAGAAGCATCCCGATCTCATCCTTTTCGTCTCTCGTCGACCTTTCGAGGCGGACTCACGATTTCCAGGTATTTGAAGCGGACCGGCCGTTCGAACAGTGCTTTCACCTCCATCTTCCTCCCTCGTCTGCCTCCCTCATCTGCCTCCTTTATCTGCCTCCTGCATCTGCCTCCCATCCCCGAGATCGATACGATGGGCCGGGCCGTCCATCCCATCTGTTTATCGTATCTTCCGCCGCGGCCGATCGCTAATGACAGCCGCAGTCTCTCCCCGAGGGGAAAGGGGAATCAAATTCCGATCCAATCGAGCTGATGATCGTCTGACGTTCGATGCGGAGAATGCGGTTTGGGCGCTGGAATGAGGATGACGCGTTTTCGTGGGCATCCTTGTCTCGGGCTCTTTAAACCCCCCTTTAAACTTTAAATCCCCTTCGAGAAGCGGATCGTTCGAGCGGCGAGGCGCGGATCGTCTGTGCTCGACCGTCTCACAATTCAAATAAATATCTCGAACCTGTCACGTCACGAATAGAGCTGATGAAAATCTCCGTCGGCGGAGAGTCGAAATATGGGGGCAAAAAAAAAGTGGACCCTGGAGCGAAAAGGCTTTGTCGCCCGGAAGAAAACTTGAAAAAAAAAAATTCATTGAATCGATGAATTCCTTCTTCTCCCCTTCACCCTTGCAAATCGACCCGGAAAACGAATCCTCCACAAAGATCTCCTACGAAACCCGGTCTCGCTGGATTCCAGACCAAAACAAAAATCAAGGTGCTAGGTGACATGGAAAAGACATTACAGCAAGCTGAGAGTGCTAATGAAGAAGCGCTCGGCCCGTTTGCTCTGTTGGTTAGATCGCCGTGCTAATAACGCGGAAGTCGTGGGTTCGATCCCCATACGGGCTACGCCGTCGTTTCTTTCCTCTGTTCGAATCTGTAATCGAAGCATTTCGGGGCTTTCGACTTGTTGCGTCGAAAGGATCTCAGGAGCCATTTTCAAGGTAAATAAAAAGTTTTGTTGGAACCGCACGAGCAGAGAGAGAGGTTTCTGTTCTCGATATGCGGAACGAGTGACGCTCTGTGCTTCCATCGCGTCACCCGATCGTTCGAAATTGCGCCAGGAAAGCTTTACAGAAACGGAGAAACTTTCGTCCTCTCGGATTTCATTTAATTAATTCCCAGGAGAAACTCGCTGCATGTTATTTACCCGAGGCAGCGACGGAATCTTGGCTCACGTTATTCTCCCGAGAAAAATCGGCTAAGGAGACACAGTCACCCATCCTCTTATCAAATCCGACCTCTAACCCAATGCAAACACGATGCAATTAGCTCCTCCATTTACATGGAGAAATCCGTGGCGAATAGCGTCGCACCTTACGCCGGCGCATCGATCGCAACGAACTCGAAACGGATGGAGAAAAAATGTAATTCCGCAAAGGGCGTCGTCCACTCGCCGACCTTCATATCCCCTCTCGCCTTTCCTCTATACCAGGGGATCTTAACCTGGGGTCCTTGGACCCCCAGGGGGTCCGTGGAAAATCAAATAGATAATTGAAGGTAGCTCCGGAAAACATCATTTATGATCAGAAACCCAGGTGTTTTCCAAAGGTTCTGATGATCGGGGGTCCATGGGTAATTCTTGAGGATCTGGAGGGTCCGTAGGTGCAAAAAGGTTGGGAGCCCCTGCGTAAGTCGAGTCCATTTTGTCAGGGGGAAATCCATATATCGGAGTCATCCTAATATACGTTCAGCGTTCTTGTCAAAAAGCGATTGGATTCGAGAGGCGCGGACATGAAATCCCGCGAGAAGTCGCCCGAGCGTCGAAAGTCAGGTCAAGGTCAAAGTTTCGTTTAGCTGTCGGCACACATTCGATCTGATGCCACGAAAAAAAAGTATGTAAACGAGACAAAAAGGCAACAGGCGTAGTTAATAACTATTCGTGACTGCGTTACCTCGTTGCTAACGAGGGTGGAAGTACCTGGAAGCGACCGGCTTCGACCACGAAAATCGTTGCCGTCCCCCCTTAGGAAATGATCCACGGCGGCGTGTGCGCGCTGTTCTACATGGCCACGGGGAGCGTGCTCCTCGACGACGCGAAGCGCGTCCTCGCCTCCCGGGGACCCCAGTTCCTGGATTATGGTCGCTGTTCCTTTGAGTCCTCAAATATGCAAGACAACAGATGTGCGCGATTCTCTCTCCAAAGTGGCTAAAGTGGCTAACATTAAGCGTGCAATGATGAGAAGGGGAATGCAGCATGAATTAAGAAAATGAATTCTGAAGTAATGAAGATGAGAATTTCATCGAATTCATTGAAAACGACAATGAATATATTCGTGAGCGTAACAGAAAGAGAGCGAGAGAGAGAGAGCGAGAGAAAGAGAGAGAGAGAAAGAGTGGAAGGTGAATCATGGAGAATTGCGGAATTCAATTGCCCGCCGTTTCTCGTTTCAAAATTGAGGGAGGAGATTCACGGACGGGAAAGACGGATGGCGGGGGAGGAGGGCGGCGGCGGAGGAGGAGGAGGACTACGCCGTCGCGCAGATCGACCTGCTGAGGGCCATCGACGAGAAGCTGTGGAGGATGGCGGTGGCCGCGGAGATGCAGAATCGGAACATGGAGCATCTCGTCCGAAATCTTTCCCTTTCGCCGTTCTACGCGTGAATGAAGCAGGCTTCGGAAGAGGGCTCGCCGTCCTGTCCGATTTTTGCAGGAACTACCGATTCTTCGTCGTGAAGATTTCGGACTGGGAGCATGTAAACCTGGATTTCGCCTGATGCTCTGAAAAATGTCTTGCATTTCCTCGGAAATCATGTTTCCTGTCCTTTGCGTAATTTTTTTCCCGGCTCCTCTTCGTGAAATATTACGACCAAGGGACCAACGGATCGGAGTTCGAGCATTAAACTTACGATCCTCTTCTTTGATCCTTTCCTTCATTCCCGTCAAAAAAGTCTGTTCCGAATGCTCCCCGAAAAGTCCTCACGACAGTAGGTATGCTGAACTGACCAACAAACTATAGGCTGTAAGCCAGCTTGGGGATCCAACCCACTTCAGCGTTGAACCCACAACGCTCTAACCGAGTCACGTAACTACAGGTTGATTACGTCTATTGACGCCTGTAGGCAAGGTGAAATATCCGGAATCGGTTGTGTACGCATTTGCAAGGAAATGCTGGGGAAATCCCGTTATTCGAATCAAATTAATCAGGGGCAAATCATATTGAAGCCATCCTTATCAGCGTTCTAGCCAAAAAGCGATTGGATTCGAGAGGCGCCGGCATGAAATCCCATGAGATGTCGCCCGAGCGTCAAAAATCATGTCAAAGTTTCATTTAGATGTCAGCACATATTGCGTATCCAGACATTCGATCCCCAGAATCGGGGAAGGATGAAACAAAGAGGGTGAGACTAGAAACGGACGATTCCGATCGAGAAGGAATTGAATTTCGCGAGGGACACAGTCCAATTTTCCCGACCTCCACCAGCTTTCCTCGCCCCGTCCGCACCTTCTTCCCTCATCTACCCCGCTCCTCCCCATTATGGAAATGGGGAATTTTCTTTCCAATAATGGAAAGAAAATTTCCACAGGTCGCACCGGACCCGAATGCCAGGTTTGACGTAGCCAGAGTCGATGTAACGTTCATAATTCTGTGAAGCACTTGCCTCCGGAAGTGTGCCTCTTTCTTGATTGTTTCCTCCACATCTTCTGTTAATGTCTTGTGCAAACGTCATTGTTCCAATACCATGCAACATTGGAGGTGGAGGGTTGAGTATTGATTATTGATTATTGATTCAAAATCGGTTCGAGTCCTTCTTTGCTATTAGCTGAACTGAAGACCGCGGAATGCCTGTTTCTTTTGAAATACGCCGCACACTTAAACTGTTGCCTGGTTTGCCGTCTTGGCTGCAAAATCAGTGAACCGACAGTCTCGACGTTTTTTTTTTCTGTACGATCAGTTTTTGGACGCCCACTGCCCGGACGACGTTTTCCACTTCCATCGTCTTGAAGTTTTTTTTTTTTTTAAATCCGCAACTGTTCTTTGTTTCCGTTGGCGATCTAGAAACTCCGCGAGAATTTGATTTCAGTGAGTAATTCTTTTCCTGAGGCAGCGCGGTTGTCTAACACTCTCGCTCAAGACCATTTTGAAGGGTGCAAACATTTAAAATCAAATTTTAGAGAATAAAATTTAAACTTGAGGACCAAAGAGAATAATTCAAGTTCAAACGAAGAAAAAATGCTACATTACACTGAAGAAAAACATGTCTCACTGTTGAAACTCAGTATGAGAGCAATTGAAAATAATTGACCAGCGAGACAATGGCGGCACGCTCGCAAAACCGGTTTTGAATCAATAATCGTTCGAATAGCAGCCATGAAAATAATTGGAATGAACTTTTTTCATGCACTTTTATCGGATGAAATTTGAAAGACACGGCAGCTGCAAGCACGCAACGGAAAATCGTCGTAGGATGCCCAAGGATGCTGCATGCAGAGAGGGCTTTAGCAAGAAGCCAGTCTTGTCCATCCACTTTCTTGGGTGCTTGTACTTCAAATTGCAATTGTTCCGGTTCCGTTGCGGGAAATTTTATAAATGATATGGCGATGGAAAGAGGAATAATTGACCTTACATTTCCCGTTTGGAACACGAATAAAGGTTCATTTGTTCAAAAGTTATTGCCGATCAAAATTGGTGCGGTTTTTTTTTTGGGCCACCCTGTATACATAAAAAATCAACAATAACATAATTGAAGCACCCCTTTTCGATTCTTATACCTGCAAATTGAATGAAACTCCTTTGGGTCATCATTAATATTTTATAACGGGTTTAAGCTACTCCTGATTGTGGGAAGTGATTTATAACCTGATGCTGGGAATATGAATTAAACAGAAATTCCTCATTTCCCCCTGAATTTTCACCTTAGAGTTTATCCTTAGTTTATCCTTAATGTAGAGTCTTTTATAGCAAGATTAAGAATCAGCCATCTATGAGCAATATTGTGCAAGTTTACTCATTCTCCCCCTCCCATAAAAAAAAAATAATCTCTACAATGGCGAAAAAATTTCCGAAAACTTTTCGCAACCAAAATAAATACCCTAGGGGCAGGTGCCAGTGCCGGTGCCGAAAGACCGGGCAAAGTGAAATGTGTATGTATCATGAGGAGACAAACAGGTATTACAAAAATTGAAATAACTGATTATTTCCTGTGAACCTAACCAAATCTTTTT